ACCCCGCTCGAGACTGGTCGGGTGCACCCGCGCCGCACCTATTGGAACGGGCCTTTACCCGCTCGGACCCGAACCCTCCTCTACGGTCACAACACCCGGGCTGCGGTCACCTCCCGATGGGGCCACATTCGGCTTTAGGAAAACAAAACGAAAAAAGGGGTTTACAATTGGTATGTCAGCTCCCCTCTGGGTCAGCTCGTGGTGAGGCTGCAGCCCGAGACTCCGACGGCTCAGAACAGAGACCAGCCCCCGGGCTTTGGCACTGCTGAGGATCTTTCCACTTGATGAGATGCTGTTTCGGTAGAAAAAGAGTCCGTTTTTTTTTTTTAACCCAAGTCCGCCTTTATCAAAACATGTCAGGCCTGACAGAATTAGAGATAAAAGTGTGTGCCTGTGTGTGTGTGTTTAAATCCTCTTTGTGCCCCCCACCCACACTAGCCAGCATCCATTCTGGGTAAATATTTCTACCCTTGAATAAAAGGAAGTCAAGTTTATGCTTCGTTTCAAAGGGAGTTTTTGAAATGGTACCTCTTTACTTGCTGGTAGTCAAGAATTCACATTTTATTTTGTTTTGATTTGGTTAGGTTTGGGCGTTTTTGCAACCCTCAAAGCAAGAATTAAAGGTTAAATTATGTCTCAAGCTGCACATCACCTGTAGTTTCAAATCCTAACATTTAGCACAGGATTTCACAGCAGGAGCGCCAGGGCTGACATCTGCGTCGGGTTGTTTTCTGGTCCATCCACGCTGGTCAGATAGATGCTCAGATAGACTCCTGGGGGAGGGGATCCTAAATGAGTGCATTTCTCTGCCCATCAGGAGTCAGGAATCCCTAAGATAAGACCGGTTTGTTGGCTAAGAGGAGCCAACACTACATGGCTTAATTGCTTTCTGAGATACGGGGTTGGGCTGCAAACTCTGGACTTTATGTCTGTTTAGTACCTGGGACCTGGGTCCCAGGAGACTCTCTACCTCCTCCTCAGTTCATCTGGACATGAAAGATGGGCCCAGAAATCAACCTATGGTCAGAGAGCCTGGGCTATTCTGCAGCCCTGAGGGACCCTCACTCCGCAGGACACAGCGCTAAGGCTCTGCTCACTGGGCAGGGGATCCACCCCAAGCCCAGTGCAAGATCCCACCCCTGCTCCCTCGGTCTGTCAGTTCCCTGTGTGTCTGAGACTTCCTGGCTCTCTGAAGGTAAGGAATGACCTGATGTCTAGAGCCTCACATGCAGAGTGGCACCTGTGGGAGCCCCTAGCCCCAGCCCCCAACCTCAGGAGGCTTTGGAGATGGGGTCAGGTGAACAGCCTGTACCACTGCAGCCTCGGGCTCTGGCCCAGACACCTCCCCTGCTGCCACCCTGGGTCTTCTTTGCGCTTTCCTAGAGATAAGTGCTTACCAGGTGTGGCTCCCACAGTTTCCCTGTTCACCCAAAGGCAGCTACCTGCCCAAAGAGCACCCCCAGCTCAACCCACCCGAAGCCTCAACTCTCATCCTCTTCTAGAGTCAGCATGACACTTCCACCCTTCTCAGCTCTGCTGCGGAGCCCTCTGTTCCCAGGAGAGCCACCCAGAGGAGAAGGCCATGTCCTCACTGCCTAACAGGTGGGAAGGGATAGACATTATCACATCTGCAAAGGCTCCTCTTGGCTCACCTCTAATCCCAGTGAGTCTCCCATCCCACACTATTTAGTGGGCACCTGCTTTGTGCCAGGCACTGTGCCAGGGGTCAGGGATACAAAAATAAATGAAGCGGTTCCTGCCCTTACAAAGCTCATGGTATCTGACGAAGAAATTTATTCTTTAACTCGTTCATTCACCAGATGAATGAGGCTCTGTACCAAGTGCTAGGGAGACAGCGAAGAAGACAAGCACAGCCCCAGCCATCCCAGTAGTAGCACCTTGGCAATCTGGCAAACAGAATTATCAACCACGGTAAAGAGAATCACAGGATGCTTTTGAGCGCAGGTAAAGAAGGGAGGGGGAGGGGGAGCCGGTCTGACAGGCAGGGGCAGTAGGAGGGGACTGCCCGGGACACATACCCAGCAGAAACTGGTATGGTGCTTCTCTTCCTCCTGAAGCATGACCCTAGAGCTTCGAAAAGGCCTCTCCCTGTACTGAAAAGGCCCCTCCCTGTGCCCTATCCCTTACCCCCACACCCAGGAAATCTGCTAGCTCCTCTCAGAATGCCAGGCGCCTTTCCCTGCTGCCCGTGGGTGGCAGGAGGCCACAGTGCCCCTTGTGGCCACTGACTGAAGTTCCCAGGCTAGTGGAGGGGTGGGGTTTCAGGCTGTGGGGCCGTGGTGTCCCAGCCTCCCGAGCTCCACCAACTGGCCTCAGTCCTTGCGCAGAGTCTTTCTCGCGTGCTCGCTCTTGCTTGCTCTCTCTCGCTCTCGCTCTCTCTCCTCTCTCTCTCCCTCTTTGTCTCCCTCCTCTCTCTCTCCACCCCTCCCCCCCCCACCTGTCCTCTCTCTGTTTCCTCTCCAGGAGAGACCTCCAGGGTGGCCTGCCTGAAAATGCCAGGATCCCTCAGCTGACAGCCAAGTGCTTATACTGCTGCCACAGGTTAGCCAGCAGCAGACCATACGGTTGAGGTGGCCTAGACCCTCAGGCAGCTGTGGCCTCTGCGTTTGCTTCCTTTTGAATCTACAGATGTGGTGAGTGCTACTTGCTGTGTGGCCCCACATAGTGAGGCCAGAGCCTGGGACCCAGGGGAGTACCTTTCACACCTACTTCGCTCTGTGGCCCAGGCCTCTGAGGATGTGGGTCTCTTAGCCTCCCACTCTGCCCTCTGCCACCCACTCCACATTCAGGTGGCTACAAAGCTTTGTAGCTGGATTTGGTTGCCCCGAGACCCCGAACACAGAGAAAGAGGCCACTACTTCTGCTGGTATCATTGCCCATGGGTCATCTCTATGGAGAGGAAGGTTTGAGGATCCGCTCTGGAAAGCAGAAGCAGGCACTGAGCAAAGGAGTGATCCTTGTTATCACTTTCTGGCCAGGCATGCATCCCAGCCCACTGTCAAGTGCCTCATCGCCCAGAACTTCCCCTGGATACCACGGACCCTCATCCCAGAATAGCCCTGTCTTCCATGCTGTGGAAAGGTGTGGCCCCAGGGAGGGAACAGGGTAAAGGTGAGGGGTGCAGAACTCCTGCAAACAAGATGCCATGCCAGCACTCAGAGCTGCCCTCCTCTCTCCAGAGGGGATTGCAAACCTTTGGGAGAGAGAGTCACCGCTTGTCCAGAGTAGCCGGGGGAGCGAAGGGGCTCATTATGGGGATTATTACATTCAGTCTTTAAAGCCACCCTAAGAAGGTGCTGTAAATTATCCATTTTACAGAAGAGGAAACCTGGGTCAGGGTCTTTCCCAGCTGGGAAAGGTGGGTCCCTCAGCTGCCAGGTGGCCCCTGTTAACTCCTCTGCTGCACCATCTCCATGGCCTTTATCAGGTGGTGGGTGACAAGGGGGATGGAGTTGAGCAGAAGAGAAAGGGGCTCTAAACTCCAGGATTTAGAGAAGGGAGAAGCAGCCTCAGGTGTGCATAAAGCCTTTTTGGCCTGAAGCAATGAGGGTGAAGGCCACTCATTGGTTAATTCTCATCAAGCCCCTCCCACATGCAGGTCCACCAATGGCAGCATCCCTGTCCCCAGGCAGGTGAGAGCAGACTGCTTTACAAGGCCGTACCCTGCAGACAACGTGAGTGTTCCAAGGAGTGGAGGGACAGCCAGCCCAGGTGAGATGGGGAGGGGAGTCCGAAAGAAAGAGTAGAAATTAAATTAGTGAGACAAAGTGATGACTGGAGGTGGGGCAGAGAGGACCACAAGAGCAAGACCCAGGGAAGCTGAAGCCCTTTGAGGGCTCCTGAGAAATGGAAGGTGAGGTGGGCAGCGCAAGAGGAGAGGGCTGTGGGTGGGCGAGCCAGGCCCTACAGCAGGGCCTGTGGGTTTCCAAGCCCGAGGAACCCCAGACAACCAGACACCCTCTCGGTATCTCCCCACGGACATAGCTGTGAACCAGACAGGGAACATTCCAGCCTAATCGAAGCTCAGATCATGAGCTCCACACAGGGGGCTGGCCTCCCCCCTCCCCGCCCCGCCCCAGCTTCCCGGCTCTCACCAGGCCAGGCCCCAGTGGGGCTTCCAGGTCCTTGGGGATTCTTTTAGACCTTCAGAAAGCTGGAGGCCTCAAGTTTTCCCTCTCCAGATTCTGAGGGAACTGTGTAGGGATGGACTGGAGGGGCATGGAAATGGAGACAGAGGTCCCACCTGCGGGAGCAGCAAAAGCTCCTGCCTGAGGAACAGGACTCTGGAGGGATCCCCATTCTCAAGGGGCCCCTGCTAAGGCCAATGTTTCTGAAAAGGGCTGAAGGCAGGATTTCAGCCCCAACCTGAGTCCAAGACTGCACTGCTGCCCTTTACTCAGCCCTATCCCACCTTCTCTCAGCAGAAGAGGGACACAGGCTAGGATATGGGAGCAATAGCCCCCCAGCCCTGGAAATGGGGTGTCAGATGGTCAGCTGGGCTACAGATTGTTGTCAGTTAATCATTTTTATTTCTTCATTAAAGCTTCATTCTTTTACCATGCAAACAGCATCAGGCTTAGGAAAAGAGCTAAGGAAAAGAGCAGGGTATGGGGACAAACGTCTTAAATACACTATCTAATGTCACCAGTTTCAGGCTGAGAGAGAAATGGCCCCTTTCCTCTTTATACATTGGAGATTTCCCCCCACCTCACTCCCTCCCCACCCTCGTCCTTGGGTGTTCTCCGCACCCCCCACACACACACACACAGGGAAGCAGTTGTTTGGCATTGGCAACAGTTAAAGAAGAGAAGCAGTGAGAGGAAAGGAAGAGAAACCAGGCTGCTTCAGGCTAAGGAGTCTCCATCCCACCTCACAGGCTGGCAGGACACCGTATCTGGTAGTGACGGTGAGGTGGGGGAGGGTGACTTCCTTTCAGGGCCTCAGAGCTTCCTACTTGAGGCCCAAGGACCTGGTCTCCTTACCAGCAGGACCAGGAAGGGAGGAAACCTCCCCCCAACTCCGCCCCAACCTGGCTGACCTCCCTTCAGAGGCTTGGCCAGACTCGGTGCCTGGCCTTGTCCCTGGCCATCAATAACAGTACCAGCCGCCATAGCAGCAGCAGCAGCAGAGTATTTATTGAGGGCTTGCTAGGTGTCTGCTGTGTGCTCCCGCGTTTTTCATTCATTATCTTTTTAAGTCCCCACAAACCTCAGGAGAGTTTAATAGCCCCATCCTACTCAATAGGGCACTCATTCATGAATTATGTTGACAAAGATCTATTGCACACCTACTACATGCTAGATCCTGTCCTTGGCACTACGGATGCATTGGGGAACCAAAGTGGACCCAGTGCCTGCTCTCATGGAGCATCTATCCCAGGGGAAAACAAATATGTGTCCGATTACAAGTTGTGATACATGCCAAGAAGGAAAAGTGCAGCCGATTCTGAGGGAGAACAATAGGGGGAATGTAATTTAGACCAGGGGGTGGGGGGTGGGAAGTCCTTTCAGAGATGACACTTATATACTGACAAAACTAATCAATCAGCCAGTTGATTCATCCAGACCAGAGAGACTGTCAGGTTTCACCTGCTGTGATTTGCGGTGTATAGAAGTTTCCCCTCCGTTTTCCTCTCCATCAAGGAAAAGTGGGGTAGTCTAGGGCCATTTTGCCGTTTACTGAGCTAAGAGGCCTAGAGATTTCTGGTCCCGGTGGCCTCAGAATAAAGGGTGAGGGAAAGTATTATCGGGCTTGGTTTGGGGATAAAACAGGAAATGCTGGGTTCCCCCCAGGACCGGACGAGTAATTGAGCACTATCCCCTGGCCTCCCTCCCCTCCCTCAGAAGTGTGGTGTTCTATCGCCACCTGGTGGACCTAAGAGACCAGGCGTGAGGCAGCCCAGATCAGGCTTCTAGAGTCGGATCCGGAACGCGGCTTCTTTTGGGCGGAGACTGAAAAGGAGGCAGTAGGTTTGGGTGACTTCCTGGCAGGAGGCGGGGATGGAGAGAAGGAGCGAGGGTGGATGGGGAACTGCTGCTTGAAAGTCAACTGACTGAAGACCGACAATGGCCCCATTGTGTCCGGGGCCTTGACCTTGATTTCCTGCCACTCTCATCTCCCGGCGTGGCATCACCCCGGTCTGATTGGCTCGAAGTCCGCTCCGTGACAGTGGGCGGGTCCTGGGGCAGGATAGCCAGCAATGGGCTCCCCGAGGGCTGAGACGCGCAACTGGCCCAGTACCCCCCTGGAAATCCAGGGGAGGTGGGTGGGGCAAAGGACCGACGCCTCCCATAAGTCGTTTCCTCCTTCCTCCCCACCATCAGGAGTGTAGAGGCAAGAACACGGGACTTTCTTTGAAAAGCAGTGCTGTCTGATGGTTAGGGACTGGGAGCTGCAGTCTGAGAAACGGGTTCCCAACTAGTGCTGGGATCCTTGGATAGCCTTTAGCACCACCCACCTGTTTTTTAAAGGCACACACAGATGGATACACATTCCCACTGTAAAAATATTACACAATACAATTAAAGAAAGGCGAAAGCTCCCCTCCTTTGCCTCACACACACCCACACACCCACCTCAGGTAACTGCTGCCATTAGATTGATGTGTGTCCTTCCTGACTTCATTCCATGTATTTACATGAGTCTACGTATGCAAACATATGATTCAGTGTATGTGCTCTCTGGGCCTCAGTTTCCTAATCTGAAAATGGGAATGAAAATAATAGTAGTTAAAGTCTGAAGAGTTACTCTGAGAAAGTTACCTGAGCTAATTCGTGGGGGGTGCCTAGCTCAGTATCAGGCACACAGTGACTGTGACGATTGTCATCATCACCATCTTTATTGTCATTATCATTGGGCCCCAGACCCAATTCTAAGGTCTGTATAGAAGCCCTTTCTTCCTCCACAGCCTAATCTACCCCTTCCCCCTTCTCTCTCCTAACAGGCTGTGATAAAAATCTGTGTTCCCTAATGCTTGTGTTTTTATAAAGCTAGAAAGAGCATCTGGTGTTTTCTGCATGTTCTCCCCCGACCTTCTCTTCTTTCACCCCCTCCCCACCCCTTCCCTTCCATATTTGACCTAGATGCCACTGCTCATCCCACTGCAGAGAGAACATTCCATTCTGTGCCAGAGGAAGAGGGTTGCATGGCCCACACGGTGCTGTTGGACCCACAGTGACTCAACATTAACGCTGCCCCTGGGTAGGGGCAGGGTGGGGGTAGCTCTGTGAAAGACCACGTGTAAAGCAGATGAGTGTAAGATTGGCTGTCGGAGCACCCCGGGATGTGGCCAAGGGCAAGTCATCTCCCTTCTCTGAGCCTCAGTTGTCTTACCTGTACAATGGGGCCACTAACAAGAGCCATCACCTTCTGTGCTATGAGGATAACATGGTGCCTGTGAAGGGATCTGGCACTGAGAAAGGCAAACAGTAGTTATTATTATGTTGGAAAACAAAATGTCATGTTTATTTAGTATTTCACGTTTGCAAAGGGAATTTCTAAATTCTTTCTTTTTAAAATGAACTAGTCTTTGCTGCATGGAGAAGGAAATTTGGTTTTGTCTTACAAGTCCTGTCGAAGCAGCCATGGGCAACTTTCTGGAGCTGTTGCTGGTCCTTAAGATGGCCCACAGAGTTCTCTCCAGCCAGAGAGCATCAGGATACAGGACACTGAAGGACCTCACTGTCCCAGAGGATGCAGCCAGAAATACGTCAAACCCATGTGAGTAAGACAAGGTCAGATCACCCATCATTCCACAAACAGCCATAGAGCAGTGGCTTGGTGCCCTGCCTGAACTACATAGCCCTGCATAGTGGAGGGTCCCTGGAACACAGGGGTCTTATTAGGGAAAAATTTACTGCACATACTAGCTAATATTTATGCAGTGCTCATTAGCTGCCAAGTGTATTATAAGCACAACAAACAAGTCTTAGGTAAGATCTTTGTCCTCTTGTCCTTTGTGTTTTCATGGTTCTTCTGTACACGATACTCTCTTCTGGTTTTTTTTTTTTGAGGGGGTACACTTTCCACACATTAAAATTCACCTTTTTAAGTGTGCAGTTCTGTGAATTTCGACACAGTCATGTACCCACCATCATAATCGTAATATAGAATATGTTCCTCACCCCGCAAATTTTCCCTCTTGCTCTTTAGAGATAAATAAGATCTCCTGGCTGCCAGCCCCAGCCACTGGCAATCACTGATCTGATTTCCTTATAGTTTTGCATTTCCCAAAATGGAATCTTACAATATTTAGCCTTGT